ATGGTCTTGATCTCTTGACCTCGTGATCCACCCGCCTCGGCCTCCCAAAGTGCTGGGATTACAGGCTTGAGCCACCGCGCCCGGCAAATTTGAACTATTCTAATAAATGGCTGTTTTGCCCAGTGACATTAAGACCTTCGTACACTTATAATAAAGCAAATTTATTAAAAAAAAAATGCTTTTTTTTTTTTTGAGACAAAGTGTCACTTTATTGCCCAGGCTGGAGTGCTGTGACGCAATCTCGGCTCACTGCAACCTCCATCTCCCGGGGTCAAGCGATTCTCCTGCCTCAGCCTTCCGAATAGCTGGGACTATACGCACGGTACGCGCCACCATGCCCAGCTAATTTTTGCATTTTTAGTAGAGACGGAGTTTCACTAGGTTGGCCAGGCTGGTCTTGAACTCCCGCCTCTGCCTCCCAAAGTGCTGGGATTACAGGCGTGAGCCACCGCGCCCAGCCTTATTACTATTCTTTCAATCTTACATGTCAATTTTTCAGGAGGAAAAAAACTTTTCTGTAGTAGCAGTACTAAAACAAGGATGAATATGTTGTCAAGAGGCATCTTAACAATGTCAAACATTCCCGAGGTTCGCATTTCCCCTTTCCTCTCCGATGCATTTGACATTTTAATGCTTACTATATTTATTTAAGCATTTTGTTCTGAGGCCCCAAACTAATTTGCACCGTTGAAGCCGGAAACAGAACGGGTGGAAAGGTGCGGATGTCTGTATTAGCATTATGCATCTCATATGCGAATAGAAATGCTCAATTCAATAGAGTATGCATGCGTGTGTATCGTCATGCAAAATAAATCTTTATTGGTCTTATTTGTGAACGCGCGAATGCAGCTCCTAAATAAAAGGTAAAAACAACTCCTGGGCTGAACCGCGCAATATAACGAAAGTGGCTTTAAACCCAGAGACTACAGTTCACGGCATGCCTCGGCGCCACACGTGATTAGTGACAACCAGAACTACAACTCCCGGCGTGCCCTGGTCTCACGTGTGATTTGCTACGGAGCGAACTACATCTCCCGGCAGGCTGCGGAGGGGTTGGGATAGGAGGACCGCCGCCCCGGCCTCCCTTAGCTTCCCGAAGCGGAGCAGGTCCCACCTTGGAGAGGATGGAGGTGACCGGGGAAGCCGGGGCACCAGAACCTAGCGAGATCCGGATTCTAAAGCCGTGTCTGCTGCGCCGCAACTACAGCCGCGAACAGCACGGCGTGGCCGCCTCCTGCCTCGAGGACCTGAGGAGCAAGGGTTAGCTCGAGAACCCTGGCGAGCGGCTGCGGGAGCCGGGGCCTGGCGAGGACGTCCGGCGGGGGGCGAGGCGGGGTCAGGAGAGGCGACCTGGGGATTCTTGCAACTCGGATGTAGCCTTGGGACAGATATAGTCCGAGGGGGTATAGCGATTTACAGATGTCAGGCGCTTGAACGTAGTTAATTTCGTGTGAGACTCCACAGTGGTGGCCAGAGAGCCAGGTAGCAATGTGCAAATTAAGCCACACTCGGCTTAGGCCTCTTGCCTGAAATCACTTAGATGTTGGACCAAGCCGATCCCATTGCATTCCTGCCACTCCGGCTCACTCAGGTGGTACAAGGACCCCAGCAGAGCCCACGGCGGGGTGGGGAGGGGTTTCCACCGTCTGCTCTGGCAGGAATCTGTGCAGGAAAGAGGGAGCTGCTACTGACCATTTCTGTTGGTCCAGACAAGGAACGTGAATTGTAAGTGACTGAGCCGACAGAAGTTCTGAAACTGGCCCCATACCTTTACCAGCTGGCTTGGCCTTGCACTTAACCATCTCTCAACCCTCAGTTTTCTCATCAGCAAACTGGGTTAATATTTACAGCCCTGCTTCAAAGAATTGTTAGTTCTCTCAAATAAGATGATATATTTAAGCTACTTACAAGTCTTTATTAGCCGGTAGCAACAAACTGGTTACCCAAAGAAGTTTTACAAGTTAAATGTGTGAGCCAGCCCCAGGCATGTAGTCTCAGTGTCAGAGGGCACAGTTGCTTCCTTTCACCAACAGAGATCATATAGAATATTTTCAGAGACCCATTAACAGCCAAAGCATTACAAATGCTTTGCTGACATGAATTTTGCATATAAGCATTTATGTATTTTTTCCTGGCAGTCTTGCTGTGTCGCCAGGCAGGAGTGCAGTGGCACAATCTCGGCTCACTGCAACCTCTGCCTCCCAGGTTCAAGAGATTCTCCTGCCTCAGCCTCCCGAGTAGGTGGGACTACAGGCACGTGCCACCACGCCGGGCTAGTTTTTTGTATTTTAGTAGAGACAGGGTTTCACTATGATGTCCAGGCTGATCTTGAATTCCTAACCTCTAGTGATCCACCCGCCTCTGGGATTACAAGCACGAGCCACTGCGCCCAGCCGACACCAGCTAATTTTTGTATTTTTAGTAGAGACGGGGTTTCACTACGTTGGCCAGGATGGTCTTGATCTCTTGACCTCGTGATCCACCCACCACAGCCTCCAAAAGTGCTGGCATTACAGGCACGAGCCACCACATCCAGCCAGATTACTTCACTTCTAATTCCACTTCTGTGCCTTGACTGGATGCCCGAGGCACAGAGGCAGGTGTTCTCTGCAGCCCAGCCCATACATACCTTTCTGTTCTATTGGGTGGTAGACAACACTGCTGAAGGGAATTTATAGTCTCTTGGCTATTTCTGCTTAGACCAGTCCCTTTAGTATTTGAAGCATTGCTGTCACTAAATAGGATGGTACAGACCTGTCCTGGAGAAAGCCTCTCGCCGACTGATAATGATCAGAAAATCTCCTGGTACCAGCTTCCGCTTCTTTTATACTTTCCCATAGGTTAGAAAAGAAGCTGCTAAGGAAGATACTGTAGAGAACAAAAAGCATTTTCTTTCTTTGTTTTTTGGTGTATTTTTTGACGTTTTCTCCACACGTAGGAGAATTTAAGAGAACAACTGAATAAATGAATGAAAGACTGCTTGTTTGCAAGGAATCAAACCAAACTTTGATTGGTGTTCATTCCAGTAAAAAGTCAAATGCCAGCCGGGCACAGTGGCTCATGCCTGTAATTCCAGCACTTTGGAAGACTGATGTGTGGATCACCTGTGGTCAGGAGTTCAAGACCGGCCTGGCCAACATGGTGAAACCCCATCTCTACTAAAATACTAAAACTACCCGGGTGTGGTGGCACGTGCCTGTAATCCCAGCTACTCAGAAAGCTGAGGCAGGAGAATCACTAGAACCCAGGAGGCAGAAGCTGCAGTGAGCTGAGATTGCGCCACTGCACTCCAGCCTGGGAGGCAGAGCAACACGGAAAAAAAAAAAAACTCAAATGCCTACCATACATGAGTGCAGAGTGGCTGGAGTAAACATACTTTCAGGAGCCAGACTATGTGAGTTTACGTTCCAGCTTTGCCACTTATTGTGTGGTCTTGGACAAGTTACTTAACCTCTCTGAGCCTTGGGTTCATCATTTATAAGACAGAACTAGTAATAGTACCTACCTTACAGTATTATTATGAGATTAAATACCATTTATGAAAAGCACGCAGGGCCAGGCGTGGTGACTCACACCTCTAATCCCAGCACTTTGGGAGGCTGAGGCAGGCAGATTACTTGTGGTCAGGAGTTCAAGACCATAGCCTGGTCAACACGGTGAAACCCCGTCTCTACTAAAAATACAAAAATTAGCTAGACATGGTGGTACACACTTGTAATCCCAGTTACTTGGGAGGCTGAGGCACGAGAATCGCTTGACCCTGGGAGACAGAGGTTGCAGTGAGCTGAGATCACACCACCGCACTCCAGCCTGGGTGACAGAGTAAGACCCTGCTACAAAAAAAAGAAAGGAACACTTAGAACAGTATCAGGCATGTGGTAAGTGTTCTATTAGTGCTAGAAGTTATGGTTATTATTCTAGTTAGGACCTTCCAGGAGCTCTGCCCAGCTCTGGAGGCATACATACTTGAGATGCAGGGACAGATGTAATTTCCTTATGGCTATTTTGTGAGTTGCCAAATATTTTATTCTTTTCAGCCTGTGACATTCTGGCCATTGATAAGTCCCTAACACCAATCACCCTGGTCCTGGCGGAGGATGGCACCATAGTGGACGATGACGATTACTTTCTGTGTCTACCTTCCAATACTAAGTTTGTGGCATTGGCCAATAATGAGAAGTGGGCATACAACAATTCAGGTAAGAAATTCTAGCCACATACAAAACAGCGTACACAGTACAGCATCCACCATGATTACTTTCACTGCACAGACAATTGCCATTTGTCTGGCTTTTTAAGCATTTGTTCAGCAGACATTTACTGAGCACTTTCTACGTGCCAGACATGGTGCTGAGCCCTAGGGATAAAGGTGAATGAGGCCGGGCACAGTGGCTCACACCTGTAATCCCAGCACTTTAGGAGGCCGAGGCGGGCAGATCCCCTGAGGTCAGAAGTTTGAGACCAGCCTGGCCAACACAGCAAAACCCCATCTCTACTGAAAATACAAAAAATTAGACAGGCATGGTAGCAGGCACCTATAATCCCAGCTACTTGGGTGGCCGAGGCAGGAAAATTGCTTGAACCTGGGAGGTGATGAGCTGAGATGGTGCCACTGCACTCCAGCCTGGATGACAGAGCGAGACTCAGTCTCAAAAAAAAAAGATGAATGAGACGTGGGCACGGTTTTCAACTAACTCACAGACAGAGAGCAAGTAAAATGCAGCTTGGCAGGGAGCTCAGTGCTGCAGGCTGCAGTCTGGCTGGTTAGGTCTGGATCCCAGCTCTGCCATTTACTAACCAGGTGTCCTTGTGCAAATTCATCATCCCTCAGTGCCTTGTTGACATAATAATTACAGTACCTGTCTCCTAGGATTGTTGTAAAGATAATATAGTACATAGCAAAGCAGGGTTTCTCAATGATACTGTTGACATTTGGGGCTGGAGTTGTGGGAGGATGCTTTGTATATTATAGGATGGTTAGCAGCATCTGAGATGTCAGGAACTACCCCCATCCCCCAGCTGTGATAACCAAGAATAAATGACTCCAGATATTATCAGATGTCTCCTGAGGGGCAAAATCGCTCCTACTTGAGAGCCACTAATATGAAACATTTAGATCTTAACTGGCACATAGTTAAGGACTCAATATTGTACTCAGGCCTAAGTTACCTGTCACTGTCGTCATCATCAGAGGAGATATAAAGGGGACTAACATTGGTGACCAAGGATCAAGAAGTGTCTTGAGAGGGGGTTAGTTTTAGGGAGGGACTTAAAAACAAAAAGTGTCAGCCAGGCATGGTGGCTCATGCCTGTAATCCCAGCACTTTGGGAGGCCGAGGCGGGTGGATCATGAGGTCAAGAGATCAAGACCATCCTGGTCAACAAGGTGAAACCCTGTCTCTACTAAAAATACAAAAATTAGCTGGGCATGGTGGTGCGTGCCTGTAGTCCCAGCTACTCAGGAGGCTGAGGCAGGAGAATTGCTTGAACCCAGGAGGCAGAGGTTGCAGTGAGCGGAGATCGTGCCATTGCACTCCAGTCTGGGTAACAACAGCGAAACTCCATGTCAAAAAAAAATACATATATATATAACTAGCTGGACATGGTGGCGCGCACCTGTAGTCCCCACTACTCAGGAGGCTGAGACAGGAGAATCACTTGAACCGAGGTGGAGTTTGTAGTGAGCCAAGATTGTGCCACTGCACTCCTACCTGGCAGCAGAGCAAGACTCTGCTGCCGAAAAAAAAAGTGTCTTGAAGTGTGCCACAAAATTGAGGAAATCATCCTACAGCATGGCACTGCCAGCCACCTTTGTACTCAGGCCTAAGGGACAGCAATCAATGGCTACAGCTCCCTCACTGAAAGCAGGGACCAATCCCCAAGCACCAGAGAAGTGGTGCCAAGAATGACAGTTTTTGTTTACCAAAACAGGACATACCTGTTCACACAGGCCAAAAAAGGAAGTGTGAGAGGATTCTGTGTATGTGTGATCATACATCGGGTTTAAATGGCTTCTTTCTATGGAAGAATACAGCGCTGTTGCACACAGAAACAAAGATGAAAGAGGCCAGCCGGGTGCAGTGGCCCATGCCCGTAATCCCAGCACTTTGGGAGACTGAGGTGGGCGGATCACTTGAAGTCAGGAGTTTGAGACCAGCCTGGCCAACATGGTGAAACTCTGTCTCTACTAAAAATACAAAAATTAGCTGGGCATGGTGTTGGCCACCTATAATCTCAGCTACTTAGAAGGCTGAGGCAGGAAAATCGCTTGAACCCGGGAGGTGGAGGTTACAGTGAGGCAAGATCACGCCACTGCACTCCAGCTTGGGTGACAGAATGAGACTCCATCTCAGAAAAAAAAAGATGAAAGAAGAGGGAAATTCAGGGTCCTAGGTGGAGATTGGCCCTCCTGTGAATCCTTGAGATAAGATGTTTCTCTCCCATTGAAATTAATCTAGACCCTCAAGAGGGCTGTGCGTGCTGGGGGAGGAGGTGAAAGCAGCACTTCAGGTTATTCTGACTGTGACTGCCATTTTCTCCCATGTGTCAGATGGAGGTACAGCTTGGATTTCCCAAGAGTCCTTTGATGTAGATGAAACAGACAGCGGAGCAGGGGTGAAATGGAAGAATGTGGCCAGGCAGCTGAAGGAAGACCTGTCCAGCATCATCCTCCTGTCTGAGGAGGACCTCCAGGTAAGCCTCCTCCACAACCTGCGGCAACGCTCATCGGCCTCTGCCGCCCCAGCACCTTCTTAGCTTCCATACTTGCCATGGCAATTTCTTTGTTTGAATCTTAATTTTTAAATAATTTTTAAATTACAGCTAAGATTTTTCATCTTCTTTTTCTCACCTAGAGTAATTTTTCAATCCTTATCACAAAGCAGAATTATCTGTGGATTTTTTTTTTTTTTTTTTT